GATGCACTGGCAGAGGTATTTAGGAAGCCTTGCAGTGAACCACATAGCTGAACAACAAGGGCCTTCCTTCCACCTTTTCTGTGGTGTCTAAGCAATCCTGGCCTAAAGTTCTAGACTTGTTTCTGTTTGTGTTATCAGCAACACAGAGATCTGGATTGACAAAGCATCTTGTTTCCATTCGGTAACAAAAGATCTTTCCAGATAAAGAGATTTTTTTTTTTAATTGGAAAAAAAAAAGGGGGGGGGGGGGAAAAAAGGGGGGGGAAAAAAGGCATACAGAGGTTTTGGGATTTGGAATTTTTTTTGTACACATGTCATAATTGTCTGTCTACTTTGTATGTGGTAATGCATTTGTAAGAATGTGCTCTGTAATTGTGGTCAGCCTTTCTCAAATACCATTTTAAGTAGCTTTGAAGTATTTCCTGTATTATTAAATTTTTATGATGTACTAAGGAGAAGAAATTTGTCCAGTAAAACAAAGTTTTTCTGGGTATTAAATTGGTTGTTTTATTTATTTTGTCTTAAATCTACCCTTTGTTGGTCATAATATATAAATTTTAAATGCTTCAATATAACCTCCTTCTCATTACTTAGCATTATTTGATCAATGGGAGGAAAAAGGGAAAAACTAATGCAATACCCATTGTAACAAGAAGACTATGATCATTCTGGACTATCATATCTCATTTCTACATAATATTAATTCATGATAACACCTGGATTTCTCTTTTTTAAATTTATATTTCTGGTTAATTTTGTAGACTGGACTCCTCTGTTTGCATTCTGCTGCACTTTTTACTGTTTCCCAGTATATTTTACTAGTTCCTGTGTGTAGCACTTCTCATTTATCTACAGACAGCAGAGGTCAGTCAGGCTCATTGGTCCACATCTTCCAAATCATTAGCAGGTTATGCACAAGCAATTCCTTGTTGGCACTGTGCTTGTGTGGTTCACTCAATTAGGCTGGCAGCATCAGCAAAATCTTGGGATGTCTCCAGAGGCTCTGGTGTTTCAGACTAGTGTTTCAGGCAGCAGCACTGGGAACACACTTTACCCGAATGAGGCTGAACAGGGCTCTTTACCCAGAGACCCACATGTTAAGTCTAAAATGAAGGTTTAGAAGAGGCATAAGGCTGATGTTTGTGTAAGATGTGTAGGGATGGTTTTTTCTCATGGGTATCAGCTCTTGTTTTCATGTAAAATTAGAGGTGATGAACCACACATTTTTGGAGATATTTCCATGGAGTCGTAAAATATCATTTTCCGTTCTGCAAAATATATTTGGCACACCCAGTACTAGTATTAAGGTGAATTACACATTTGTAATTTTAGAAAAGCATTTGGTCATAACTAAATTGCTGGCAGGAGCAGATGACCGAAGCGCAGCTGACTGTGCAAGCGGTGGTCACCTCTCCAAACCATAACATCTGGTTTGGAGTAAAAAATATTTCTCAGCCAAAAAGTCAAACTTTCATCTTTCAGCCACAGTGTGGAACACGTATTTTTGTTTGTATTCCATGTAGTTCAATGCACTGTAGCTAATGCAGTGACTGACTTGCTTCACCTTACTACACAGATTATGACTAAACACTTCAATAATTATTGGTATAAACATTATTATTGTTATTGCTACTAACTCTGTTGTAGTTCTTCAGGCCAAGGCACATAGTATTTCAGTAGATTCTTATTAATAGTTAATTATTGTTACTGTTTTCTATAAAAGGTATTAAGACCTTTAGTTAGCAGTCTCAGTATCCTTGGAGAGAGTATGGTTCTGTCTGTACCTCTGAAATGATATGCTGACTGAAAATACAGCAAAGCACAATTATTTCTTTTTCTGTCATTTGATAGGAATTACTATGTGTATGAGGCATTTAGAGTGAAGCTGGAAAAATATGAATTACTCAAATGAGCAGTTTATGCTTCTTAGTACTATGCAGTTGTACTGAAAAAGCTGCTAGTATTTTTTAAAGCATTTTAAAAAGCATTTACGAGCATGCTTAGCAAGTGGCTCATCCTCTGATTTAAAGGTAAAGTGTGCAAAACTTGTTTTATCCGCCTACCTCCAATGTTTGCAACCTTTTAACTGCTTTTCAGTTTTTAGAAACTTAGTTGAGAAGGACCTATTTATTTTAGCTGCAACTTTAAATGCATTAATTTGTTCCTAGGTATTTCAATTTCTGCTTTCATTTCATTGAAATGCTGTTGGGTTGCTTTTGCTTCAGTTATACAGACTTTCTTTCCTGTGTTCCTATACTAATGCATCAAGTCCATCAAATTCCCAAAGACAAAATCTGATACAGCTATTCAATGTCTTTAAAAATACTGACATTTATAGTAATTTCATAGAGCTGGAATTCAGGCTGCTATATAACATATGTATATATAACACAGTGTTCAGTTGCATGCATTTTATTTTATTTTTATATTTTCCATAAGATGCTCATGTCCTTCATTTAGGGAACGAGTGGAGCTTACTAAATTTGTCAGTAATTCAGTGCATCTTGTGGGGAGCAAGTCAAGGATGAGAATTTAAAGATACTTCTGAATCGGGAATTGCTTGTAGACTTATTTTTCACTTGGAATTTTCAGTGAGGTTCCCACTGTTTATTCATAATACCCTTGAAAATACTTTGATTTGCACTTTCTGCAGATCATGGTGCTGCATAACTTGAGACTGGAACACTGCCTGAAGTGAAGAACATTATGGCACTTCTGTGCACAAAGACAGGAGTCAAGGGTTGTTTTGAGTATGGGATTTGACCTAGTGTTCTGCAAATGCTTATTATAGTAATCTGATCCTAAGTGTGAAATTTTTTTCATAGTACCTTTTAAACGACATTGTCCAGCTTCTCAAACCAAAACTAAGGCGTATTCATGCAAGATTGTTTATGAACATTTACCAAAAAGACTCAAATGGAGTGTTAGGTCCAATAGCTGAGACTGTATGTTGATGACAGGAGGGAGGAGAAAGGTTTGTAATTAGAATTTACTGCTGACATCACCAAAGACAATGAGAATATAAAAAGTTGAAACCTTGGGTGAAGGACACTGCAGTGATAGTTGTGATTTTGCTAATGGAATTGCATGTGGTTTTGTTGTCATTTTTTGCAATTTATTGGTGGAGTTTTTGAGTCTCTGAACTGTGAAGCTCCTTCACAGTAGGAGGGTTTTTTTGTTTGGTTGGGGGTTTTTTTCCCTTTTTTTCTGTTGTTTTTTTTTCTTGCCGCCTACAGAGATATAAGCATTATTAAGAACCATTACCGAAGCTATGCAAAACCTATGTTTTTTCCTCTTTTATTAAATAACATGTACTAATGTTAAAAAAATTGAACTAGAATAAGTTAAAGTATCTTTTTTTGATATTTTTAAGTTATTTCCTTGGTATGTAAAGTTGAGTGAGGTTATTTAGTTTTTTTCATCACATCTGACACTGTTTCAGAACTTTTTTCTTTTTCTGTTTTTTATTTTTCTGTTTTAATCCAAAGCCTGTCCTTTTAGCTTTCTATGTCACAGGTAACAGAATGGGGAATGTTTGTTGTTTCAGGCATAAAATTTAGAATACAGTGTCTGGACTTTTGCTAAAACAAACAAAAAGCAACCAAAGAAAAATACCACCAGAAAACAGAGCACATTACATTACACGGCCAAAATCTTGCATCTGCTTTTCCACTTATGAGAACTATTCTGAGCTTTGTAGCTTGTCTGAACACTGGAGTGTAAATACCTTCTCTAGGTGGAACACAGAGGCTTTGTGCTTGGAGCCAGGAGAGCAATTCTGAGCCTTCTTCATATTTCCCAGCCCTGAGGGCAAGTCAGCACCATCTTCCTCTATTGCCCAGTTGAATGCCAGTGGAGGACTGGCCTAGGTTCTGTCCTCATGGGGAAAAAAAAAAATACCCCGCTGCTTCTTTGTTGTCCATTTTTGTTGCTTCTTGTTCATTTTTAAGATATACAATATATACCAGACAGAAGACTTTTTCTTTTTCTCTAGATGTGTGTGGCTTTGGTTTTATTTATTAAACCATTAGGCTATTTATTATAGCTCTGCTGCCAGTAAGATATCTGTGAGGGGCTGGGATGTTTGCTGGAGTTCTTGAAGCATAAAAGACTGTGTTAGCAGCTATTGCATGAATACTTTATTCACTGACATATACACATACTTCCTAGTTAAAAACCAAGATGATGGTTTACTGTGTTGTGGTGTAACTGAAACATCCCATAGGATATATTTGGTTATCTTAAAACTTCCACTGAAAGTCAGCAGTTTTACTGCTTTCACGGCCTTCTTGAACTGCTTTACTCCCTGGGCTCCCGAGATTGTTGCCTGCTCTGCCCTGAACTTTTCTGTTCAGCTGACTTACTTTGTTGGTGAATTCACGTAGCGAGTGACCTTAGACCTTAGGAGATCCACATACACAGAATGCTTACTAGATAAGCTGTCAGAAGTGAAATTGTATCCGGGCAACCATCAGGCTTACAAACCAAAACAACCAGTGTTTGCATTTTAGATGCTATTTCATATTCTGAAATGAAATATTTAAGAACGGTTAGCGTTTGGAAAGGAGGGATTTGAGATTTGGGTTTTGTTCCAGTTTAATTTCTTCTTGTAATATATGCTGCATGTGTTATTCTCCAACAGAAGACCTCTGTTCAAATGATTTTTTAGGCTATGCTTTTAATTATTTTAAATAAATTGTGAGGGTTTTTAAAATGTGTTGACTGTGCTTTTAGTAGTATTTACAGCAACAATGTGCAGACTTTCATCAGGAAAATTACGGGTCTAAAGGGTATATCTTGTTCTACAAGATGTGTAAGAATATCATGACTAATACAGCATTTATGCTGTTACATCCATAATAACATTTGGTGCTTTATTTGTATGATGAAAACAAGCCAGATTGTCAAAGTAACTTTCAGAGTGCCTGGGTGTTTTTTTTCTGAGGATTTAGCAGGTAATCAGAATGCCTTTTCTCTAATATATTGTTTCATGTTTGCAGGTAATATATGCTTTGAACACGAAAAACGATGAACACGAAGCAGCTATCCAAGCCCTGAAAGATGCTCATGAAGAAGAAATTCAACAAATTCTTGCGGAGACCAGAGAGAAGATCTTGCAGTATAAAAGTAAAGTGGCAGAAGAAATGGATCTCAAGAGAAAGATTCAGGTTTTGGAAGAGTCACTAGAAGATCATAAAAAGATGAAACACCAGGCCTTGACAGAATTTGAAGCGTATAAGGATAGAGTTGAAGATATGCAGCTTTGTGCAGAAGCTCAGCATGTCCAACGTGTAGTGACCATGTCAAGGGAAGTAGAAGAGATCAGAAAGAAATTTGAGGAAAGGCTGCGAAGTTTCATACAGTTGCAAGTGCAGTATGAGAAGGACAAGCGTACAGCTCTCGAAGACTTAAAAGCTGCCCACAGGCTTGAGATTCAAGAACTTCTCAAGACTCATCAGAGTCAGAATGCTACCTTAAGTAAGGGGCAAGAAAAATTAGAGGAATTGCATAGACTGGAGCTGGAAGACTTAAACAATAAAGTTGAAGAGTTAAGACTGGAAAGAAAAAAACTCATTGAGGACTATGAAGGCAAACTCAGCAAAGCACAGTCCTTCTATGAACATGAACTTGACTCTTTGAAAAGATCGCAGCTTTTTACAGCTGAAAGTCTACATGCTTGCAAAGAAAAAGAAGTGGAGCTGAGAAAAGAATTTCAAAACCAGGAAAGTATGTTACGGAAGAATCTGGGAAAGCTTAAAACTGAATTGCAAATGGTCCAGGATGAAGCTGCCAGTCTAAGGGAAAAATGCCAAAAACTTCAGGTGGCTCTTGGTACAGCAGAAAACAATGTTCAGGTGAGACTGATGGTGTTGTTTCCAAGGTTGTGAACTTCCTTTTCCTGTTTATGCTATCTATACATGAGGCTGGTAGGTTGAGGTAATTGGAGTGTGTAAGCTTAATGGTATGTCACTCATACTTGCTTATCATCTTATAAATTTTTTTCATTTATTTATATTTTAAACTTATTTGTTTAATTAACAGTGTTTTCATAAGCAGTAACACGTCTTCAGTATGTTACTGGTTTTGGCTGGAGTCATTTTCTCTACAGCAGCTTGTAGGGTGCCATGTCTTTGATTTGTGCTGGAAACAGTGTTGGTAACAAGGATATTTTAGTTATCTCTGAAGGTGCTTACACAGAGTCAAGGCCTTTTCTGCCTCTTAACCCACCTCACCAGCAAGGAGGCTGGGGGTGCACAAGGAGCTGGGAGGGGACACAGTCAGGACAGCTGAATCCAGCTGACCACAGGGGTATTCCATACCCTGTGGTGCCATGCTCAGCATATAAACGTGGGGGAAGGAAGGGGGAGAATGTTCAAAGTGTTGGTGTTTGCCTTCCCAAGTCACTGCTATGCGTGATGCAGCCCTGCTTTCCTGAGGATGGCTGAACACCTCTCTGTCCATGGAAAGTGGCAAATGAATTCCTTGTTTTACTTTGCTTGCGTGTGGGTGGCTTTTGTTTTATTTATTAAACTGTCTTTATCACAACCCACAAGTTTTCTCACATTTACCCTTCTGATTCTCTCTCCCATCCTATGTAGGGGGTAGTGAGCAAGCAACAGTGTCATACTTAGCTGCTTACCCAGTTAGACTCCAACACAGTTTTATTTAGTGTGTTGGGTTGACCCTGGCTGGATGGCAAGTGCCCACCAAAGCTCTTCTATCACTGCCCTCCTCAGGGCAGGGAAGAGAGAATATAATGAAAGGCTCATGGGTCAAGATAAGAACAGGGAGAGATCACTCACCAGTTACCATCGAGGGCAAAACAGACTCAGGCTGGGGAAAAGGAAATCAAATCAGAGTAGGATAATGAGAACTAAAACCAAATCTTAAAAGCACTTTCTTCCCACCCCTTCCGCCTTCCTGGGCTTAACTTTATTTCCAGTTCTCTATCTCCTCCTCCTCCAGCAGCACAGAGGAATGGTGGAGGGAGGTTGTAGTCTGTTCATAACATGTTTCTCTGCCGCTTCCTCTTTCTCAGGGGGAGGACTCCTCACACTCTTCCCCTGCTCTAGCATGGGGTCCCTCCCATGGGAGCCAGTCTTTCACCAACTTCTCTAATGTGAGTCTTCCACCAGCTTCTCCAACCTGAATCCTTCCCATGGACTGCAGTTCTTCACAAGCTGTTCCAGTGTGGATCCCTTCCATAGGGTGTAGTCCTTCAGAAACAGACTACTCTAGTATGGGTTCCCCACAGGGTCAGAAGTTCTGCCAGGAGCCTGCTGCAGCGTGGACTTTCCACAGGGTCACAGCCTCCTTTGGGCACCTGCCTTGGCATGGTGTCCTTCATGGGCTGCAGCAGGACAGCCTGCCTCACCATGGTCTTCATCACAGGCTGCAGGGGAATCTCTGCTCCAGCACCTGAAGCACCTCCTCCCTCTCCTTCTTCACTGACCTCAGGGTCTGCAGGTCTGTTGCTCTCACATGCCTTCACTCCTTGCTTCTCTGGCTGCGATTGCTTTTGCGCAGTAACGCTTTCTCTTTTTAAAATCTGTTATCCCAGACGTGCTACCACTGTCACTGGTGGGCTCGAGCCTTGGACAGTGGTGAGTCTGTCTTGTAACTGTCTGGCATTGGCTCTGTCAGACACATGGGAAGCTTCTAGCAGCTTCTCATAGGAGCCACCTCTGCAGCACCCCCTGGGCTAACAAAACCCTGCCACACAAACCAAATGCATTTGGAAACTTAAGTGTCTTATCCCTAAAGAGAGACAAGACATCCCAGAAATACAAAGACTGGGTATTTTTTTGGTCAGCAAGAAATAGAGTTGGGTATGCTGGACTTGAATAAAAAGATTCTGAAATTCTGCTCATTTTTTTGGTAACAGTGCCAAGGTTTGAAGAACAGTAATTTCTGTGGGTAAGCTTGAGCATCTTGTCTTGGATTTGTATTTACTCTCAACTTGCAAAGTCCTTAAATGTGATGGTCACAGTAATTTTGGAAGCATCATTGGTAGAGCTAAGATGGGCCATTAGCTTTTCTCATTTACCATCTAATTCCAGCCCATCTTTTGGACTGTCCTTCCTTCTTGTGTAAAGGCTACACAACAGAGTGAAGGAAGACCGCTGCCTTTATCAGATGTTACATTCAAAATACATTTTTCCAGTTTCCCAGGGTGCCTTCCAAAAGTTCATTTCTAACTCGGTTCAGTTCACAATGCAGAACTCTTGCCCTTCAGTTGACTGCATTGAGGAGGTAGGTTTCTGGCACGCTGCAGTGAAGACGAAACCCGCTGTATGTTGATCACTCCTGCAAGGGGAAGAGTCTAGTACAGTATTGGTAGCAGATTTTAAAGTCAGGTTCTACTCTGATCACTGTGGATGAGGTGATCAAATGCATCATCTGGTGTCTGTGTTTCATTACATGTCCCATACAGCATTTTTTCCCAGTTTTCTTTTCTGCTTTAGTTTCTGAAATGACTCTTTACTGTTTCAGTAACTTGAATAATAAGAAATCTGTATTTCCTTTTAAAACAGAACTGGATTTCCTTTTCCTTCCTGTATGGCTGAGAACACATCATAGTGCTATCCAAGATATGCTATTGTGAATCAGTGCATCAGACTTAAGGCATATTTAAAGTTTAGAATCATAGAACAATAGACTAGTTTGTGTTGGAAGGGACAGTAAAGACCATCTAGCTCCAGCTCCCCTGCCATGGGCAGGGACACCTTGTGCTAGACCAGCTTACTTAGAGCCCCAGGCCAGTCTTGAACACCTCCAGGGATGGGGAGCTCACAGTCTCTCTGGGCAGTCTGTTCAAATGCCTCACCACCCTCACAGGAAAGAAAGATTTATTCCTAATATCTAGTCTAAATCTACCCTCCTTCAGCCTAAGGCTATTCCCCCTTGTCCTGTCACTACATGCCCTTGTGAAAAGTCCTTCTCTGAGTCTCTTTTAGTCCCCCTTTAGGTACTGGAAGGCTTCTTGAAGGCCTCCCCCAGAGCCTAACCTTCTCCATGCTTAAAATTCCCAACTGTGTCAGCCTGTCCTCATGGAAGTATTCCAGCCCTGTGGCCACTGAACGTCTTCCTCTGGAGTTGTTCCAGCAGGTCCTTGTCTTTCTTGTGCTGGGGGCCCCACACCTGGACACTCAGTACTGCAGGTGAGGTCTAACAGAGTAGAGTGGCAAGAGAGAATCACTCTCCTTGACCTGCTGGCCACACTCCTTTTGGTGCAGCCCAGGATACAGCTGCCTTTCTGGGCCGTGAGTGCGCACTGCATAAGTCATGTTGAGCTCTTCGTCCCCAAGTCCTTCTCCTCGGGGCTAATCTCAATGCATTTTCGACCCAACCTGTATTTGTGCTTGGGATTGCTCTGACCCAGGTGCAGCACTCTGCACTTGGCCTTGTTGAGTTTTATGCAGTTCACACAAACCCACCTGTCAAGCCTGTCGAGGTTCCTCTGGGTGTCATTCCTTCCCTCCAGCACACTGACCACACCACACAGCTTGGTGTCATCAGTGAACTTCCCAAGGGTGCACAAAATCCCTCTGTCCGTGTTGCCAAGAAAGATTCTAAAAAGTGCTGGTCCCAATACCGACCTCGGAGGAACATTTGATTTAAGTAAATGCCCAGCTCTCATTTATGTGTCTCCACGTGCAGCTTAAATCTGAGTCAGTACTAAAAACTGCAGTAAAGGACACTAAACTGCTGTGAATTTATAATGTATTTTTTTATGTGAAGAACTCTCACATATTAGAAACTGAGTTTCCAAAGTTCCCCCCCAAACTCTGTGGGCCATTTTACAGTTTATATTTTTTCATATAGTGTTTTTAATATTGTCACGTTTCTCTTATGCATTATTGTCGTGCAATATATCCACTATCTTGTTTTTCCAAAAATATTTTTTAAGCATTACATATAACACAAAACCAACATGGCAGTAATATTACACTATTTCAACTTTTGTATGAATAAAACTTGTTTGCTGAAAGGCCTTTTCTGTGCCTTTTAAGCTAATGCTTATTTAAATTTACATGACTACATATAATAATAATAATAATATAATAATAATAATGATGATAATAGGTATTGTGTGTTTCCTCTAGGTTCTTCAAAAACAGCTAGATGATGTGAAGGAGGAGGAGATGTCATTGTTAAGCAAACACAAAGAAGTGGAAAGCGAGCTCGCGGCTGCTAGAGAGCGCTTACAGCAGCAGGCCACTGATCTTGTTCTCAAAGCCAGTATGTATGTCAGTAACTTAATCTGGAAATGAACTTCATCCTTTTATTCTAGCCTCTCCTTTCTCTGTCAACCTTGTGCAGGTTTAGAGTTCCTAAAGACTGTTTAATGCTTTCCATAGAAATTTCTGACAAGTTTGGGCTTTTTTTTTTTTTTTTAGCTTTTTTGGTATTGCATGCATTGTATTTAAGACTCTTTTTTTGTGTACTTATTTCTCCGAATGTTCTACTTGAATGGCATGTACCTATCTTCTAGGCCTTGGAACTGCATTTATGCAGAATGCTTCTGCTGTGTGTCTGTTCTCCACATAATCTCTGAAATGTGCTCCCTGTTCCTCCATCTTTTTCCAGTTGCCTTTTCTTTTTGCTGACACTGTCGTACTTTGCTTTATACCTGCTGTCAAATACTTGCAGCTTATCGGCTAATAAATCTCTTAAGGTTTTCTCTATAGCTGTTTTCTTTGCTCCTTTGTGCTCGTTGGCATATGGAAAGGCACAAAAAAATTGTTTAAGACCTGGCTGTACATGTGCAGGTTTGCCCTCTTAGGCCGTCTCTCCCTAGTGAACTGCTGAGTGGTAGGGAATTGGCCCGAGGACTTGAACTTGGTCAACTATTTGATAGGTAGGGTCTTGGGCTGAAAAAAAAGGCCCTGGCTTATGTTTGGCCTTTTTCAATGAGAACAGTTGTAGTGATACCTGATTGTGTTCCACACAAATTGGCGCAAGCTCAGGAACAGTGTAGGCTACATATTTGAACAATATAGTGGCCAGCAGGGGCCTGAGACTGCAAGGTCCTATTGGATGCAAACACTTAAAAGGAATAGGCCTGCTGCCTGTTCCTTAAGTATCTCAAATGGGAATCTGACCCTCCAAAAGGTGTTTTGTGAGCCACTCATAGAAAAATTGACCTGAGACTGTTGGGAGGAAAAAGTCCCTGTTCTCATACACTCTTCAGCCATTATTGTTTTGTTTCTTAAACAGAAGCGTGTGAGTGGTTCAGCAGGCCACCCCAAATATAGTGGAAATAAATATCCAGGCTGTTTTTCTGTATTACTGATGGCATCAAGTCAACTAGACTGTGACTGAGTCCAGCCCTGGTCTCCTCTGGCACTGAGGTCTTTAGCTTTACCAGAAATTCCATTGTGTCTGTGCTGTTGCCAAGCTCAGTGCTGTCAGTGGTACATCTTTGTTTTACAGTGCGTCACTGTGCAACAAGAACCAGGATCCCTGTTTACAGTGGTGCCACCAAGCCATTACCATGTGATGTAATTGGCTGCCAGCCTTTTTGGAAATGGTTTCTGTCACTGGCCCACTGCCATCTCCTTGATTTTCAGCTCACACTGTCAAAAATCCTGCCTCAAAGAGATTGAATTCTCATACTTAATTACCATACAGAGTGTTTACTCATCATATTGCAATTTCAGAGCACTGTATTGAGTCTATTTTGGGCAATTGATATATTCTTCTTCCGTTTATCCTGAGATTCCCAACCAGAAACTGCTGCATTTCTTACCTTTTGTGTAGAGCACGAGGAATGGGATACCTGTCTTGTGTGACAGTATTGCTAGCACAAAGGTTTAGGTCAGTGTGTGTGCTTACAATAAAATATAAATGGCATGCCTCCCAACAAACTAAAAAAATCTTCTCTCCTTGCTACATTCTGAAATTCTGGGTTTGAAAGTATCTTTCTTAAATGGCCAAACTTTTTTGGAACAAGGATTTTTTAAAAAATGTTATAGAACTTAAGCATACCCATTATCTTAAATTTTTCTCTTCAGTTTTTAGGTTTACAAACAAAAATACCAGAATGATTCATAGAATTCTTCAGGGCTTAGTACAAGTAGAGGTGTGCATTTTTTATTAAAATACTATTAATTTTGAAGCTTTTTTAATTTTCAAATTCTATTATATATCCCACTGTTCTTCCCTTCACATCAGTGTCCACAGACAACAAAGGCTAAAACAGTTTCCTTCTTGACACATCTTGCTTTTAACCACAGATACAAATGAATCACGAGGCTCAGTGATTTTGTCCTGTGAGAAACAGTAGCACGCAGTCTACTTTCTTAGCTATTTCTTAGTAGCTTAAATTTAAAAGCAATACTCTGTTATTAAAACTGGATCTGTCATTTTTGGGTGTTATAATAATGAGAGAGGGAACAAAAAATCTTACCTAGGAGTTGTGACTAAAAAAAACAACAAAACAATATTCTGACTAAACAGTACCTCTCATCTTTCAATTGAACAAATCTAGAAGCATCCTCTTTTCCAAAATAGTCTTCAGTCCACTCCAGAGCCTCATCCAGAATAACAGGAATTTCACTGCTACAGTCAGTTACCTAGTGGTAGTATTTTCAATAATACAGATATACACCAAGAAGAACAAGGACAAAAGTTTCTGAAGTCATAAACCTTTTCCCACTGGTTATGTGAAGGACAGATGGTTATATTGTCTAGTTTGAAGTTGTTGGGGTTTTTTTGTTGATTGGTTTTTAAAAATATATATAAAGAAATAAAAATAAAAAGCAAGCCTCTAACCTGCAATACTTTACTGGAGTGAGAATGAGTTTTGTTACATCTTTTAGTCATAGCCCTATACCAAAATAAACAAAGTGTAATTCTGTAAGTTTTACTAGCAGATAAAGCTATGTATCTAGCAGGCTGGCTAAATTATGAGTTTGATAAACCAATAATACCCTTACATTTAGACGTCAGTGTTTTGCTTTCTGTTGTGTAGCTTCTCGTGGGGTGAAAATGTGTGGTTTTAGATGGGGTAAGTTCTTCAGATAGACTGTCAGGGTTCACGGTGTTGCCTACTTCTGCTTTACCTTGAGAGTCAGTGTGCAACTTTGAACTAGGAAATTTGAAACTAAAGGAGCCCCAGCACCAAGTTGTTGGACATTTTATAAAACTGAAAAAGACAGATGTGGAGAGGAAGAGAAGTATTGCAGTGAAGACAAGGGAGATCCTACGTGCAAGCTTCCATTAGATATGTACTGTCACTGGAGTCTGAATGTGCACTTCAATTGCATGAAACCAATGCTGTGAGGTTTTAAAGAGCTGTTTTGTTTTTAGGTCACATTGGAATGCTTCAAGCTACTCAAATGACTCAAGAAGTTACAATCAGAGATTTGGAATCAGAAAAATCTAGACTAAAGGAAAAATTGTCCCAACTGGAAGAGGAAAGAAACTTATTACAAAGCAAAACACAGAGTCTGGATGAGCGACAAAGGCAGCAAATTCTGGCATTGGAGAAGGTTAAACAGCTTATTGGCTTTAGCTGAATAAAAACAAAAGACATAGAATTCTCAGGGGAAAAAAAAAGATTATGTTTTAATTTTTGTTTGACATGACTGGACTAGGACCAGTATGTTTCAAGTATGTCTCATGTAGCAACATAGAATGACTAATGTGGAGAGTAAAGTGAGATTAGAGGGAAGTCAGACTAGATGTTGTTCAGACTGCTTTGGACACCTTTAAACAACTACATTTGATTTATGACCTGGTGTGTATATGCCTAGTATCTGAAGTGTCTCAGGAAGGACAAATGTGAAATGGCTAAAGAACAGTTTTAAAAGCCATTTGCTGTAAATGCACTGAGCGTGTTTGAAAGTACTATACTGATATTCTCTATAGGCTTGATACCTGATTGCTGTTTTCCCAGATTAAATAGAGGAAAAAGTGGATTTTTAGTAAGGATATATTGCTTTGCATGGATCTGTTGAAACTACCTTTTTGGTTATTGAACTATGTAGTCAATGTTTCATGTTTGCTCAGTTTGTTTTATAAGGAAGTTAATTTTTTGTAGATTTATCTCATCTGTAATATTTTTGTATTTTTTTTCCTACCATTCAAATTTTTTTACTACTTAATAGGTTTATTTTTTCCCCTGTATTTTATAGAAAGTAAATGAAGCAAGGGAGACACAACGTGAATATTATGAGAAGGAGCTGGTAAAATTGCAAGCAAGGTTGGAAGGAGAGGCTGCACAGTTAAAGGAGGCTCACTCCAAGACCTTAGAAGAGCTGGCATGGAAACACCATACTGCAATTGAGGCTGCACACAGTAATGCTAATAAGGATAAGAAGAAACTGCAGATGGTAGGTTTGTGTTTTCTTAGTAATCAAACATATTACAAAAATCAAATGTTACAGTTTGAATCTTGTGCTGCATGGTTTTCTTTTATGGCAAGTTTAATATGGAATTACCTATAGGTCTGCTGGGCCTCTCTGAAGAAACTGCTTAGCCTTCATTAAAATAACAAATATCATGAAAAAAAATAACACTTGTACTGTTATTTGTCTGCATACAGAAGAGAAATTCTCAACTGATACAGCTGCCTTTTCAAGTATAGTAGATGTTTCTGCCTGGGATTTGTGACCCATATTCAGAAGGGTTGGTATATCAATCCAGATAAGTTCTTCTGAAGATGAAAGATTATATTATTAGAACATTTATTTAAAATTTTCACAGACAGTCCCGAAAGACAAAATGGCACTATATTAGGGCTTGGCTATATGTGTACTCAGAAGATGACAACAGCTGTTCCTAGCTTACATCGTAAAATTGTGCTCACTTTACAGCAACTATTCATTTATCTTTGACTGGAATCCTGAAACTGAAAGGCCTTGTTTTTGTTTCACAAAATTGGCCTTTTTTTGTCAGGATGAGAGGATCATTTGTGAATTATTATTTCCTTATCTGTTTGTCTATACCTAATATACAAATTTTGCCTTCCACAGGAAACACAGGATAAAGATTAATTGTTTAATTCAAGGCTTTGTTATGCTTCTCTGATGTATTCACAGGAAACATACCAAGCAACACAGTTGTAGTTAGTGATGTGCATCTCAGACTGAGGTTGAGTTTGTTTTTGTAAATTGTTTTACAATTTTAGTGTGTTGCTTCTCAGTTTTATTTTTAATAAATCCCAAATTTTTTTATGTTACCCAGTAATTGAAGTAGTTCTTTGAGACATGTGTATCTGATCTTTCAAGTTTATTTTCTTTGTACCTTTAAACAGGCCCGTTATTAAGACAATGTCTCTTAAGGGTTTCTGTGTATATTTTTCTTTTATTTCAGTACAATATGGGGTCCTTTTTTGTTTTCTTTTGTTTTGTATGTTATTAAAATAATGTAGGGAATAAAACAAAGGATATCATAAGATGTTTTTTCTTAAATAATTAAATTAGTTGAAGTAAGGAACACTTCTATAAATGTGAGAAATCTGAAATGACTTTAACAAAGGAAAACTAAGTGTGGTATGATATTGGGATCAAGATCTGGGTGAATCTTAATCGGATTTCACTGATCTTAAATCTTAATCAGATTTCACTGTCTCGTCTGTCAAACCTGTCTCAATAAGCTCATGTTGTGGTGTTTGAGTAATCCAAGGAAGAAAACAGTGAGGCTTAAATACAGAGAAGAATTGAATTTAGTATGAGGAAGAGGTATGGCTACTAGAAGCCTTGGGATAGAGGACATGAAGATTTATTAGGACTGGGAGCCTGAGAAATTCATCTGGTGTTTGGAAAGTTCTGAAAAAAAATGGAACAGAAGAAAATTCTACAGGATTAGAGTAGCACTCAAGAAATAGCTTGAATATTTCTTTTTGCTTCAATTCTTCAATGTATAAAATGAACTGTAAAAATGGCATCAGGAGGATTATGAAAATAAGAGTTGCTAATAATTTTGCAGTACTGCACAGCTGTACTGACAAGTACCATCAAAGAACTAATTATTCTGTTATGAGAATAGGGTCTAAATAGCACTAGTGGAATTTAGGAGACAGCAGATTTCAGCACGAACAAGACAAATTGATCCAAGTTTCATTGAGCAAGGACCATTTGTCCCACAGGGAGACTGATCTGGGACCAGTGAAGAAAACAGGCACTTGTTGAGTTGCATTGTGTAGCAGAGTGTTAGTGACAGTGTAACCCTCCGTTTTGTCACTCTGTCCAGCTTACACTGCGAAGGAAGAGATTGTGCAAGCAGTTAACACAGTCATTATTTATTGCCTGCCTCGTACTCTAATGCAGTGCTAGAACTAACAAGGTGCTAGGCTTACTGTGCTTACACCCTTTGCAAAACACTTGAGGAGTCTCTAGTTTTGGATGAGGAAGGCTCGGCATCTATTGCTTCTTGGAGTCAACTGGGTAACACTGTGATGCTGTCATGCAACTCCCCAGTTTTCTCTAGAATTTTATACCTTCTTATGACTGTTTTTATCTCTTTAATACTTGAGCGCTCTCTCTCTCCCCTTGTCTCTGCAATCTTACCAATATCTGCAGTTATACTTCTTGTTTCAGATTGTCTCTTGGCAACCTTAATTTTCTTCAATAAAGCATCGTGGTATAATAAATTATATAGTATATTCCACTGAAATATGTAATAAAGTTCTTAATTTTAACATGTTTCCTTTAAAGAATTTTGTGAAAGAAATTGTTCTTCTGAAAATGTATTCTGAATATTAATAAAGGCAAGGTGTAAATTTATAGTTTTACTTGAAAAAGGTTTCTAACATATATATATATATACACAACATGGGCTTATGTAAGACAAATATAATTCATTCAACAATTACTTTCAGAATTTGGCTATTACACCACAAAGACTAATTCTTTCCATATAGTTAAACTTGAAAACTAATTGTTGATTTCTTTTGGTTCCATGTAAATTTTGTAGATATGGTGTCGTTTTGGGGTTTTTTATTGTAACAGCCTGAAATACTTCACAGGGCTCATTCTGGATTTTAAGATTTACTATTTTCTGTGGGTTTATGTGTAGGAAATGGATGGCTAAAGGCTGACAGACATGCATATTATCAGTGTAATTTTATAAAGAGTGAAAACTTCTGTCAAGTCAAATTGAAAAACTCTGAAAGTAGATATAGTTTTAATGATTTTGGTAATTAATCGAGAAGAAAGTCCTGTTTGTCTTTATTTTGATTAATCAAGGATGTTAGATTATAAAATAAATGGGAAAACTAAGATGTCCATTGTAAAAGGAAATAATTATTCATGTTTTATGAGTTTAAGGAAAGGATGATTCTTAGTTGAAATAAAGAATATCTATGCCAGTAAGAATCATTTTCATGTGGGACATCTCTACTTTGCAATGACCGTATGGCACATATTTAGTATTTCTTCTATCCTTCCTATCTCTGAAGGAGTTGGAGCAGCAGTTTGAGAAGGAGAAACTACATTTGGAGGATGACAAGAATCAGCTCCGACAGCAGTTGGAAAACATGAAGGAAGAGCTGACAACGAAACTGTCTTCTGCCAATCAAGAGGCAAGGGTTAACTTAATTGTTTCAGCTGTGTGTCCTTTGTGCTAGACCACATTTCATCAGTAGTGATTTTGTGCTGAGAGTCCAGGGCAGCGGTAGGACTATGCTGTTCAGTCTGTTTAGTGCCTTATTTCTGTTTAAAGTGGGGTATGCTTCAAAGATGATGAATTATTTGACTGCTGCCGGGCATTGATTTTCTTTTCCTTTGCAAAATTAACAAAGTGGGAGATGGAGCTTTGTTGATGTAAACAGCTTTTCATTTTTAACTCTGCTTATATTCTTGTTAGATACACAGACCTCTACACAAAATATGTCAAGAGACAGAGCTAAAATTAACAGTATTTAAACCCATATTTAGTTACAATTAACATATTGGAAATTCTGGTCAGCTACCTGACTTGAAAATGATCTTCATAAATTTTCATCAAAAGATGATATGAAATGCTTACAGTAAGACCCAAATTATTTGAGATGTTTCATTATATGCAGTCAATGTTAAATGTATCATATCTCAATACAGTTTTAATATTTTGGGTTTGAAATCACTACTTTTTCATAATATAATATTTTTATACTAGAGATACATTCTACTGATATCAGAAACATTAATCCATTCTTCTCTGGAACTTTTGCCTTGTTTCAAGAAAATAATTCGTCAGCTTCATTGTTCAGCAAGGCCCTACATACGATTTCAGCGTATGTGTTTCAAGACAGACTTAAGCATGAATTTAAGTACTATTTTGCAGCAACATTTTTCATTGCTGTTTTCCATACAGTGCAAGTTCTGGAGGGAACAGGTGTCTAATTCTGGTGGCTTGCAAATTGCACAAATGCTAAAGTAGCTTAAGAACAAAAGTGCTTGTTTTTAATGTGATAAGTTGGAGAGACTGCCCTTGTGAAAGTATAGATTAACTTACTAAAGTATAGCTTTATGTGTTAATATATATTGTGATATTAATAGTATATCCATGCATTACTATATTAATTTACATGATAATGTATTAAATTATTGCATATTACTCTATATAATCTGAAAATATATGTTAATATATTCTTGCAGAGCAGTACGTACCAGATAGATAGGTATGACAGATATTATATACTAGAAGAGCAGCTGAATCTCCCATCTTTAGAGTTTAGCAGCACTGCTGCTGAGTCAAGTCATGAGTACCAGTTAAACAGGAGACTGTGCTTCCTTCTGATGGTTGTGTGTGCCTTTGCCAGTGCATCCAAGCTTGGAAAAGCTGCAAACTGAAGCTGGAACTCCTCCCACTCTTTTAACATTATGCTTGCGTACATTCAAATTGATGAAAATAAGGTGTATTAGTTATTTATGATAATAAAATCAAACACAAGTTTATTTTTCATTTCAAAATTAAGGAAAATTTAGTTATTTCTTTTTAGTTGTAACTTCTCTGTTGTATGCTATTTTTTCTTGTTCCTGGATTAGATCTGAGGAGAGCACTGTTGTCATTCTATTGTCACTCAGCAGTGTAGGCTTAAATTTAGTTACCCTTTCTCAGCTTCTCTTGGGTTCCTGAGCAATAAATTTGCTCTTTCCTTAAAGGAAATAACTTCAAATGTTTTAAGAATGAATTTTTGTTACCTAACTGCTATGAAGTACAGGCTTGAAAAATTCATCAGCACACTGAAATAAGAAAACAGAGATGTAGCTAAGGAATAGAAGACTAACATAAACTAAAATAGTGAATTAGGGCCAGCTGCTATTTTGTATTTGAGTTTATAAACATTCTATGCTAGTATAAATATAATATAGAGTATATTGTATATTGAAAGAATGGGAGAAAGTGTGCAGGCAATAAATTTGCAGTGGTCTGTAAATCCACTCCACATACTATGGAGGAGATGTGTTTCATTTCATTATACATTTATGCTGAGCACACGAAAGAAGTGCCTCACTTGTAACCACAGCTTACCCTTAGATCTCTATTGACAACTGGCAGCAGTTTCTAAATGCCTTCAGTGACCTGGAAGCAGCTTCCCTATGATGTGTCTGGCACATCATTAGCTCAGCTCTTATGTTGCTACTGTTGCTTCCTTTTTTTTGGTTTATTTTAAGTTACAGAAGTAATTTAACAGTAGGCATGTATTTATTGCTTTCTGTGGATGTTAGCTTAGTTCTAGCTTCCCTGCTGAGAAAGCTGCTTTTGAACCCATGCCATCCTCTTTTCTTTTTGACAGACTATTTGGTGGCAATTATCTTGGCTAAAGGATGAGGAAGATTCAAGCCTCATTAGGCTTGCTCCTAGTACTAAGCTATTTAAGAACAGTGTAATCTTAAATACTTGCCAGAGATTTTTGTGAAAGTTCAGGTCAAGTCAAGATAGTGGCTTTCTCACATGTATATCAGGATGAGGCTGGCTGTTTGCTCTATAGGTTTGTTTCCTTTCACTGTAGACCAGCCAAAACTTTTTAGAAAGATGCTTTGTTTGTGTCACTTGACAGAGCAATCTAAGGACTTGCTGTCTCCATGCAAAGGATTTCTTATGATATTGATAACGATCATTTTAAAAGAGCTTCCAGCATTGCTTTATCAACAGCAGAATATATCTTTAGCCCTATGAGTGGCATTCCTGCATGCTCCCCTATCCTACAGGACTGCTGTTCAAGTTTCTTGCAAGTGGTTTGCTACTACCAGATATGTAGGTAGCAGTGCTCTTCCAGGGTATCAGTACAGTTTTGAGGGCAATTTTTCATGTAGGAATCCTCCTTCAGGTAGTAGTGCTTTGGAGGGAATTCCTAGTTGTTTGAATGTAATGCAAAGGAGCACAGAGACATACTTTAAATTGTTTCTCTCTCCTGTAGCTGGTGAACAGTGTTCAATCTCTAATATTTTTATTTGAAGCAAAGAAGTATGGTATCATCATTTTACGGTTGGGGACCTGAAGCACAAACAGGCAGATGACTGTTACATGGCAGTTGAGGAAATTACCACATTATACTCTGTAGGTAAACAGAGAAACTTATACCTTAACACAAGTTAATTTATGCATTATATTAGAGTTTATATATTTTGAAATAGTTCTCATTGATTTGTATAAAACATGCCTTCTCACAGTAAAGTTAGAGGCAATTTCAGATCTTTTATGTAACCTTGCAAGGTGCATCAAACACATATTAGATATAATATTTTTTACTTGTAGAAATCAAGAAATATTACAGGAATTTGTTTTTAAGTACAGAAACATTAAATGATATTAAAGGAGAAGAGGCTGTGCAACTGAAACTTTGCTTAGGTCAGGATTAGAAAATACTGGAAGAAAATGAAACCAGGTTGGCTTGGCTGCCATTAGTAATAATTATGGAAATGACAGCTTTCCTTGTTTTGTCACAGGTGTGTCGTCTGCAAGACCTAGTACGAAAAAGTGAGCAAGGCCTTGGGACTGCAGAAGGACATATCTCCAGTCTTCAAGAAGCTCAGGAAATACTCCAGAAAGAACTAGAATTAACTAGAGCAAGACTGCGAGAGACCACAGATTCGTTGTATAGTGTTGAGGTAACCGTACTGTTGGAGAATAAGTTGTGCAAAGCACAGTCACAGTGATTTTGGTCTTGTTTTTTAATGTGGCAAGAAGTATTACGGTGTGCAAGTTACTGAAGGAGCCTCATGTGGCTTCACTAAAAGAGAGATTTCTAAATCTAGCAGAGAAGGAAAAAGAACCCTGAAAAGTAGATTTTGTTGTTTGGGTTTTTTTTTCCTTTTTTTTTTTTTTTTTGGTTGCTTGGTTGATTGGTTTGGGGTGGGTGGTTGTTTTTCTTGTCAGAACATTTTTAGTATTTTAACAGGTAGTGCTGCAAGCACATCTTTCTGTGGTTAGTATACATAGTAGCTGTCCAAAAATATGTTCAGAGGCTTGATAGAATTTCACAAGAGTGTAAAAACCATATGTGTTACAACGTTGCTATTCCAGACAGTTCATGTCTTGCTGCAAAGTAAGATCCAGAGCTTACTAGGACTAGAATTCACTGAAACATTTTTAATGTTTTCCATGAGTAATGGGCACAGTCTTAATTTTAGCCTCAAATTTAGAATTTCAGTAGAGACTTGAGGATCGTTCAAAGATACATGCTATGATATCTTGAAAGATAGCAGACTGTCACCTAGAAAATGTGACCACTTTGTACCACTGAAGCAATTAATTTGTCTAGGCACAAATGTATTGTCATTTTAATTGGCTTAGTTAGAACTGGAACACTCAGTTAGTCTGTCAATAACTCATTGACTGTAATACTAAGTAAACATTTCCTTTTTCTTTCCTCAGTAAATAATGTACATTTTACAAGATCACGGAAATGTTTGGAGTAGCAAATATTAAAAAAAAAAAAAATTCACTGAACCTATTTTCGTATTTTCATAACAAAAGCAGCCTGAAACAGGATATTGGTATATTTTTTTAATTTCTTTCAGGTATGGTCATTAGACGTGCACCGTATTACAGTTTATAACTTCCGCTGTATTTTTTATAATTTCTCTAAGTGTCCTTATGAACTAGCTATTGGTCTCTCCACCTATTAAAACATTTTAATAGTCATATATAGCAGGTTACTGCCACTTTATCTTAACAGATTTAAAAAATAAAAATGCTACATTTTAAAAAGTCTTAATTAAATTTAGAAAGCCGTTTTTGCATCTCATGTATGAAGCAAGCACTGCTGAATAAAATTCATGTAAGGATTTCTACGTAGTGCCTAATACTATTCTAGTATGGTAAAATTTGAACAGAAATTGATAGGAATTTTAAAGATAGTGTTTTCTGTGTTCAGACTGTGAAACCTTGTTTCTAGCAGGTTTGTCCAATTAAGAAACAGAAATAAGTTCTATGAACTCTGTATCAAATACAGATATCTCAAGCTTTGAAATTCAAATACTGAATGTTTGATGCTTTAAAAAATTTTAAAAAATGATCAAAGCATTCCTGAGAAGGAGCTAAGCAACCTGCTCTAATTCTGAAGTCAGTCCTGCAGTGAACAGGACTTAATGACCTTTTGAGGTTCTTTGCAACATAAATTATTCTGTGGTCAATGTAATGATATTTGAAAAGACTACTTGAAGAATGACCTATTGGAAAATTGCTTTTTAGAGTAATGTTTCACAAGGAAGAAATATCAGCAGATGTTTAGGCATTAATTGTGCATAATTAGGAATGATACACTGGAAAAGTTGTAGTTCAAGTCTTATGAGCCAGTTGTAACTGATATTTTTATTATAAATATATTCATTTAAGGCTTAAAATATGTTTTTGCTGCTGATCAGTCTCTATTGGAAAGTTTGTGTTTGCAGGGAGAACTAGACCAGGAGAGACAACAGCACGAGGCAATGATTGCTGCCATGAGAGAAGAGGAAAAGTTCAAAGTTGACAGAATGGCGCGTGACTTGGAAATAAAATGGACAGAAAATCTTCGGCGAGTATTTTTTTTTCCTCTTTAATAACAAATCAACTACATATGATATGCAAATGTACTATCAAATGAGATGTAAAGCAAAGGTTTCTGCTATTATCTAAGATTTTCCAATTATTACCGAAACCTTAATTCTTTTTCACTTCTTGCACAATGTCCACTGCATTGTAGTTATTTGACCTTTGTTTTTAGACAGGAATGTAATAAGCTTCGTGAAGAGCTGAGGCTGCAGCATGAAGAGGATAAGAAGGCAGCCATGACTCAGCTGTTGCAGCTGAAAGAACGAGAAAAAAATGCAGCAAGAGATGGATGGCAAAAAAAGGTTGAAGATCTTTTAGACCAGGTAACTATGGTGTCTTTGAGAATTGAAAAGCCATTAGTTGCAGGTGGTTTATTACTAATTAAATACATTGAATTGGTTGTGACATCTGACTTCGAAATGAAATTTCTTAGCATAGTGCTTTTTAGCCTAATCATTATAAAATATTTTAAATAATATATGAACATTAATTATATGAATGTTCTTCTTTACAGTAGCTGTGAGTAAAGCTTTTTACAGGTTGGGAGGAGAAGTGGGAGAATGTTGACAGTCTCACATCTTCACTACAAGGTTTTTTTGATTCTGTCTGCTCACTTGTTCTGCTGTTAAATACTTACCCTGCTAATTGGTTGGACTTATATTTATCCCTTATCTTTACAAAAATAATAATTCCCTATCTGTACAAGAATAACACTGTACAAGTCACTGAAAAGTCAAAATGTCTGGGATATGTTGGGATAATTTTGCATAAATATTGAGCTTTTTCACTGGCAACTCATATTTATAATGTCTGTTACCTTAGATAACTCAAAGAAAATACTTGCTTTGTTCTTTTTCCAAGCCATAAAATCTATAGAACTGATTTTATTGACTCCAGTTTGAAGAAATAGCTGATAATGAACAAAACCATTTTAAAGTAAGAGAAACAGATTTTCAAACTCATTAAATGACTGTGATTTCAGGGTGTTATTGTGGAATGGCTTTTAATTTATTGTCTAATTTGAGAAGTCCAATAACGGAACACACACTTGATTATACAGACTCTTATAGGAGCACGTAACAATATATTTTGCTGACAGGGGAATATAAGCTTGTGAAATCTTGTGGTTTAGACTCATAAAAGTTGGAGGTTTTCAAAGTTCTTGGTCTGTTACTTTTTACAACATGAACATAATAAGACTTTGACTCCTTTGATTTTAAGTTTCACATTACGCAAGCCTTAAGTGTCATTTGCTTTTTTCACTTCTATCTATAAATAACATTTCTGTAGTTTCAACATACTTTTTAAACACTTTACAGGCTCTTTAAATAATCTCTTTCAGGGCTTAATTATGCTCATAGTGAGGTTTTTCTTTAAATTTAGGCAGAGCCTCCTCTGTATCAGTTCATGATTGTTTTCTCTCATTGTCCTGTGGTACAGCACTGTAACAAGGCTGAGTGCACTTTCTCTGTAACTACCTTATGGATACTGGAAAGCTATTAAGTCCCTCAAAACCTTCTATTCTTTAGACTGAACAGTTTCCTCAGAAGGATGTATGTTGCAGTCCCAGCCATCTTGCTGGTAGCTCTCCACTAAACATGATCAAATTTATCAATATGTGTCTTGCACCAAAGATTAATGAACTGGAGGAGGAAACAGGTGATGTGCAGTAAGTGCCAAGTCAGAGGGACTGATCCTTTTCCCTCAGATTACTGGTTGCTGTTACAGCCAGAGTGCTGCTGGCAGTCATTGCTGCCAGGCCACGCTGCTGATTCACATTTAGCCTACCATCAACTAGGTTCTGTGAAGCACCTCTGTAACCCAGTATGGGCCAGTGCAGGGCTTCAGTCTGTCCCATGTGAGGGACTTTGCATTTGTCACTGTTGAATTTTGTGAGGTTCCCATCAGCCCGTACCTATAACCTTTATAGGTCCCTCTGGATGGCAGCCCTGTCTTTCACTGTATTGTGTCCCATCTACTGTGCTGTTCTCCACCTTTTACTCTTCCCAGTTTGGTGTCATCCATAAACTCCATAAAGATACTATCTGTCTCCTCCCACAAATACTGGAGGAGGTACTGAAATGAGCAGGTCCTGGAGAAGACACCTTAGAAGCTCTACACTGAACTAAACCAGCCTGAGATACTGCAGTAGGGCTGTAAAATTGTGTATTTGTTACACCCAGCCCTGGTTTTCATTTGTGCAAAGATGCATTTAAAACCCATTTGAAAGGCATGAAGCCTGTTTAAAAATTACGAAGAGTGGAGGGATCCAGCTCCTCTTTCTGCAGTTCAGATCTTTACACCTGAAATAGTGGCCTGGTCTATAATAGTAGTATTATACAATGATTTTTCAAAATAATACAAGACCAGGGTCTCTGCTAAATCATTTGTAAATTCCTGCCTTGACAGTAAATGTAGCCTATGTGCATTCTTTATGTTGAGAAAGTGTCTAGAGCTTCAACATTCAGTTGCATAAATGCTGTTCAGAAAGACTGAATTCAGAAGTAAAATGCTCGTCAATACGTGTACTTAATTTTCTATTATGTATTGATGCATCTCCGATTTGATTTAAAAACAAATCGCCTAGCTTGAAGTACAGGAATGGTTATGTAATCGAAGTGTTGGAAAAGCAGGTTTAAATACAGTTCCTTAAACTGTAGAAAAATACAACACAGAGTATGCCCACCTTGGAATGCTGCTGACTGGTGCTGGAAAACTGAATGAAGAGACAGCTCTAAATGCTAACAATTAAAAAACCCCAAACAGTTCAATCAGAAAAATTTATGCCCATAAAGTGTACTAAGCTGGTTTTGGTTTTTTTTTAATTATGTTACACTAGTCTATAAATTTATGCCACTTGTATTTGTTGCACGTTTGATGCATAAAGCTAGGTAATAGTTTTACCAGTAATGCTAAGTGGTGCCTCACAGAATGCACGTAGGATTATTGTTATTCTAACAGTATAGCTTTGTTATAAGTAAAATAATTTTCTTGAGATAAAATGCTATTCAGCTGATTAGGTACTTAAATACATCACTTACCATCTACAGTTAAATGTGGTTGGTAGTTTAGCTCAGTCGGTGTCTAGAGACCAAGTGTATAGTTCTTATCACTGATATGAGAAATTATTCTAGAAGACAAAAAAAGAAAGTGCTTTTCCTTCTTTTCCCCTGTAAATGGCACCAAGTGCTTCTACATCAATCCATGCAAGAGTTTCATCATGAAATATGCAGTGAATTCGGATGTGCTAGCTTGTTTCCATTCCCCTTATCTGTATAATGGGGTTTTAACACTTTTCTTAAAAACGTTTTACTGCTGAGAAAGCTTCAGCCGTGGACAAAATAGGAGGAATTTTCTTTTTTTTAAAGCATGAGCATGTTCTCTCTTTTGCCTGTCTGTCTTATGCAATGTTCAGTTCTGGGTGCTGAAATGTACAGGTTAAGACCTGTATTCTTCTTATCTGTTTCTTCTTGTGATAAATATTTCTTTCTGTAAACTCAATCAAGTATCTTCATTGGTGATGGGCTTTTCTATATTTGAACAAGTATTGATTCTCTCATCTTCTTTTCAGTAACACGTTTCAGTAAATTAAATGTTTTTGTCAGCATTTTTTCCCATATGTAGCTTTTCCATTCTTATGTAGCTTCATACATGACCAAGCATTAGTGGGACATTCTTCTTTCTAAACTTTGCCAACTTTGCACAGTGGAAGATACATCTTCTATTAATGATTAACAGATATATCGGAAGTAGTACAGTGAGAATTGACAAAAGTATACTACATATGCTTTGGTAGCATTTGTTTACTTTTCCTACTGCAAAGATTCTCTCTTTTTTTGCAAAATATGTTCGAGTTTTCTCTTCAGTTTGTTTTTGTGATGGTGTGTTCCTTTTTAAACTGTCAAAGTAAATAGGAGGAAGTTTGACATATCAAAATGTAAATACTTCCTTCTGATGTAGACATTATTCAAATTCTAGTTTTCAGAAAAATTTAAACTCAGTCTTAAAATGCTGACCTTAAAATCCTGAGTATACTCTTGTTCATGAAGTAGAGTGCTGAGAAAAGTCACTGGACTCCTGTGCACCTCTGTAAATGACTGTTGATCGGCCTTCAGGCAGAGGCAGTTACTGCTCCGTCTTTACTTGCCCATGTGGAGGTGCTCATTGCAGAGCTGATGTGCATCCACATCAGCAGAATCAGGAAACGCTCCTTTCTTTCCCCAGCACAAGGATTACTGGCCTGTTCCACAGCCTGGGTAATCCTTGCATGAGAAGATTTGCTCTCAAATGGGTGCTGGAAATTTCTACAAGAAATAACATGCGTATACCGTTTATCATTTCCTGAAGAAGGGAGATAAACTTTCAGCACAGGATCATTTTACTCAGCTTCCTGTCACTTGTCCTGAGCACACCGTCTAAAGGCTTGTCTGTCAGGAACAGAGTGGAAGTAAATTTCAAGTAACTCCCCCCTAATTTGTTTTGGCAGTTCTTGTATTCAAGAATACTTGTAAGGTTACCGTGACATCTAGTGGATGGGAAGGGATTTTGGGGAAGATTTAAAAAGCACTTAAAAATGCTGAAATCCAAAAGAATGAAAAGAAACATCATACTAAGGAGGCAGAAAAGAACAGAGGGCACCTGGAATGCAGTTCAGGGTAAAGTTTTATGCCCTTCTTTCAGCTGTAGATATCTGTTTTTCCAAAGGAGCACTCTGTCTTTGACTTTCAAAAACTTTGACAAGTTACTACAGCTCTCAAAACTGCAGTCTTAATGGGACTGTGCTGCAACTCATGCGGCCTCACAGAGAATCGGTGGAGATTTGGGAGTTTCTGACTGGATCCAGTGTCTGTGTGCATCCTGCCACTCACCACTGATTTAGAAGAATGGTACTCCTGTATTCTAAGTGGAAAACCTATGCTTTAAGCAAGTCAGAAATTGCTGTATGTGAGCATGTGGATAATCACGTAGTCCAGAGTCACTGCGGTCTGAGGGCCAGCTATTGAGTGTGCTTCCACCAGTTTCATCATTGTCTTCTTCTCAATAGGGAATCCCCCTTGTTCTGGCCTCCCTATTCTGTACAGAGATGTGATCCTGATGATTAGTCGGTGCATTTTTCTGTCCACATTGGTCACTGTAGTTTTGTCTGAAGCTTGAACATGGTAACAAATGCCTAACGCTCAGCTGTTCATTATGAGCCTGTAGTTTTGATGAGCCCATTCAGCCCACACCGCGCCTTTGTCATTATTTTACTCTTTGTTTAAAAGATTCTGAATATAACAGAGGAAATTCATTAAAGACCACTTACAATTAAGAGCTGCTCGGC